TGACACTGGCTGAGTTTTGCGTTTGTAAAATAGAAACAGAAATAAAGATGTCTAACTTCAAAGCATTGTCATGAGGACTAAATAAATGATTACCTGTAAGGCACTTAGAACAGTAAGCATTTGCTAAGTGTGATCTAGTATTAATAACACTTGTTAATGATGTTGACCCAAAAAAGCAGGGGTGTGGTAAGGCTCAGAATCAGTCTTTGATTTATAGAAAGAAAATGTTACATTTGTCTTTTTAATGCTGCAACTCCATCCATTGTGTTTTCCCCTAACTCTCTCTCTCTCTCTCTCTCTCTCTCTCTCTCTCCCCCCCCAATACTTGCAGACTGGTGCCTCTTGCCTGCTTAGTTTCCTAGACCACCTCATGATGAGATGGAGCCTGGATGCCTATCTGAACTTCATAAACAGCTCAAATGCCTCAATGAGCTGCATATTCCTGGTAAAGTGACCCTTTTATCATTATGAAATGTCCCATGAAATATCCCTCACACTCCAGTAATGCTTCTTACCTTCAAGTCCGCTTTGGATTCTAAATACACAAGCTTCCTGTTAGTGAATACTTGCAGGAGAAATCTTTTTCCATCCCTTTACTTTCCACCTTTTACATTGTTGCTGATAAGTACCCTGTAACATGGTAGTCTATACTGAGCACAGACTTTTTTTCTTGTCATTATTCCCTAAGCAATGTAGTATCACTATTATTTACATAGCATTTACATTGTATTAGATATTATAAGTAAACCAAAGATGATTTAAAACACATGGGAGGATGTGCTTAGGTTATGTGCAAATACTATGCCGTTTTATATACGGGGCTTGAGCGTCCATGGATTTTGGTATGGGGGGTGGGTGTTAGGGAGGTGAGAGGGTCTTGGAACCAATCCCCTGCAGATAAAAAGGAACAACTGCACTTAAAGTATGTTGTTTTCAAGGCTTATAGAATTAGGTTTTGTTTTTATCCAGGCTGACAATATTGTCTTTACATTGTAATACTTAGTCCATGTATGCTTGCTGTACACATTGATGCATTTGGGTTTAAATCTACCTTTGTACTGTTTGCTTTTGATTTGTTCCCATATGTTCTATGCTCCTTTAGCTCCTTTCTAAATTATTTTTTAAAGTTTCATATTCCCCTTCTTTTATCTTGTTAGTTTTCCATTCTTTTATTATTCTTAGAAAATATCATAGAAATTGAAAATACACATGCTGTTTTCTTAATCTCTAATATATATTAGTGCTTTCACCATTTCCATTTCCCAGACAATTCAAGGACCTCAGAATAAGTCAATTCCGTGTCTATCAGCCTCTTATGCTAGTTTTGTCATGTATTTAGTTCTTTATACATAAAACCCCACAAAGCATAAACTTACTGTTTTATGTCAACATTCTTTTAGATTTATATAGTTACCCTTTCCATTGCTTTTCAATTACTTTCTATACCTCCAAGAAAACTCATAAACATGGTTCCCTAGAGTAGGACTTTCAGGCTTTATCCCCCAAGAGCAATGCCGGACAGTGACCACTGAGGGTTTCTCTGGAAAAGGGAAACAGCTTTTTTGCTGTCCTCCCTACAGTAGGGCTGAGGTCTCGGTGTGCTGGGAAAAGGTTTCCACTTACTAAGACTCCTGTCCAGTAGAGACGCTCCGGTGCTTTTAAATAGGAACCCTAATTATTCTGGGCTCTCTTTGTAAGAAAACCCCTTTATTTCAAAGATTAAATAATATTTTAATAAAAGGCTTGCACTGCTCCACAACAAATAAGTTCAAGAAGCATCATCATCTATTTGTTTTGAAAGGTTTTGTTTACATGGTTTTAAATGCTCCTGTATTGTATGTACACTTAATCTGTTGAGGGTGGATCTCATGTTAAACAGTCTTACCATGATAAAATATTCAAAAGAATGTATAAAATATTTCTAAACGTTTAAATATTGAAACATCCAAAATATTTATGTGGCAGATGTAATATACAATAAACATGCTTTGTACCCACCATGCAGCAAGCAGTTCCTGTAGCTTTCCCAGGACGCGGTTAGAGCGTGAGTCAGACAGCCACCTCGGGACGCCCAGGAGTCTCGGGACCTGGTGCAGCTTTGCAGACGCAGTGACACCATCCCAGATGCCACATGCCGTAGGGTCTGATTTCCACCAGACTTACAGCAAGCTGATGTATAAACAGCACACCTTAGTCTTTGTACAGCAAAGCTAAAGCTGCCACTGACTATACAAATGAGGTTCCAAACATGGCCTGTTCGCCCCTAATCTGAAAATAGCGATAGCGATGTGGAGTCAGAGCCAGAGAAACTAGTTAGAATAATGATAGGTGATGGCATCAAACCGTACCACCAAACAATGTCTCCAATTCTCCAGCCCTCTGGATCACCCTTTGCTTTTACCCACCTAACACTCCTACCCTCTCACCCGTGCTCCATGGCTGCAGAAAGGCTAGTCTTTATTGGGATGTGTAAGTAACGGGGGCGGTCCTGGAAGTGTTTCTATCCCACAAATCCATCCCGGTTGTCAGTCACTATTTGGCCTAGAGATCAGCAAGTGCCAGGGCTTCTGTGCTGCCCCTTTGCCACCTGGAAACCATCTTGAAGCTACCAGTGCCCTCTCGGCACCATCTGGCCCCACTATGGCCACAACTCCTTTAATGGGCCAACACACAGCTGACACTGGGCTGTAGTTTTTGACAAGGACTTATGGAAGATGAGACTAACATGAGGGAATTAACAACATAGGGAAAATAGAGCCCTTAGCCACACCCCTTGACGGGGACCTAGGACTAGCGTCTTCCTCCTTGGGCCGCAGCCTGCAGTTAGGACGCACAGACCTGCTCGTGTTCTTCCGGGTTGGCCCCAATGCTGCTTCCCTCTATGAACTCTCTGGCTGTAATTCTCCCCTCTCCAGCTCCCAACAGAAGAGACTACTCTCCTATTATCTCTGCCTTCTTACTCTATCCACTTGCTGTTTTAGGATCTGACCTATGGAGTATTTCTCCCAGCTTTGACCGTTTATTTATTTAGCTTCCAGGTTAAAATACAGACCGACCCAATCTCTGGATGCAACGATTGCATCAGCCCCCAAAAAGCCATCCCTAATCATGGACCCAAAGAGGGGTACAAACCTTTGTACCTAGCTCTCCCCCTGTTGAGTATCAGTCAGTTCTAATATTTTGTTGTTATAAACAATATAGTGAATGTCTTAATAGCTAAACGTCACAAAGGCGTGGCACCCTTACAAACTTTTCCTGAGAGTACGCACATTTTCAGCCAGCCATTCAGCACTGAACTAGCTACTGGGCCCTCTGCTAGGCCTGAGGATATAATAATGAGCACAAATACACTCCCCAACCTCACAACCCTCCCATCTTGTGGGAGAGACAAAGAAGGAAATAAACATAAACCGCAATGGTGTTAAGTGCCAAGAGTAGTGCTACCAAGGAAACGCTTCCTAAGTAACTGGCCGTTCGGCAAGATCTGATCAGATTAGTAAGAGTTCGTGGGGCAAAGAAGGAAGCCACGGTGTTCTCAGCAAAAGAACAGCAATGTAACATCCTGGGTCTGGAAGGAAAGCTGGGGTTGGAAGACCTGCCTGCTAAAACAGGATTGAGGGGAGCACAGATGGAAAGGGTACAAGGGCCAACCTTCCAGGAGTTTGTAAGCCATGTTGGAGTCTGATCTTTATTCTAGAAACTACAGGATGACACTGAATAGTTCTGTGCACAAAGGCTACATACTATTTTACGTTCTCCTATGGCTTCGCCAACACTGGGTATTACCTTACCAATCTGATAGTTTTAACTTGTACACACTCCATTTTGTTCATGTCTATTGCCCATGTTTGTATCTGCTTAAACGTAATGTTTGTGACTCCCTCTCAAATGCCTACGTTGAAACCCTACCCCTGGATGTGATAGTATTAGGAGGCAGGGTCTGTGGGGGGTACTTCGGGCATGAGGGCAGGGCTCTCATGAACAGTCGTAGGGTTAGTGCCCTCGTGAGAAGCGACAGGGAGACCTTGGTTCAGCACTCTGCCGTTTGAGGATACAAGACGGCCATCTGCAAACCAGGAAGTGGGCCTTCACCAGACAGCAAACCTGCCAGCACCTTGACCTTGGACTTCCCAGCCTCCTCAAGAACTGCAAAAAATAAGTGTTTGTTGTATAAGCCACCCAGTCTACGGCACTTGGTTACAGCAGCCCAAGCTGGATGAGGTAGCGTTCTTGTGCATTTCCTACTGGGGTGTTGTCTTTTTAAAATTTTTTTAACTGAATTTAAGACTTGCTTATTAGCTTTTAAAAAAAATCTTTTTAAAATCTTGTTCCTACTCATTTGCCTTTTAATTATGTCAGAACATTATACACACAGCAACCTTTTCTTTCAGGGATTCTGTCGTAAAGATGTTTTCTCACCCCAATATTGTAAGTATTCACCCATATTTTCTATTAGTATTTCCTTGGTTCAATTGTTCATATTCAATCATATCTTGATTGACATCTATAAACAGAAACCTAATTTTACTTTTCAAAGGGTAAACCAGTTATCCCTTGAAATGTCACCTCTATCATTATAAGTAAACAACTTAGAGAATAATTCATGGATGTTTTCTTAATCATCTATTTTGCTCTAGCACACAACCATGTGTTACTGTATCAATGCCACACAACTGCATTGGTATATATTTCATGTGAGATGAAGTTCTTCCATGGTAAGTTCTCCATCCTTATTTATTCCATTTGAATTAGCTACCCTACAAGAAACTTACTCCTTTCTTTATGAAATACTGAATTGGCTTTCACAGGGATTTTTTTTTAAAGTTTTGAGGTTTCAGAGTACCGGTGAACTGGGAGATATCCATCTGAAATGCAAAAAGGTGAAAAGGACCTTGAAGACTTCAGCAACCTTTCCCAACAACTACTCTGAAATTTATATAATTGTTTTGCATATAATGGGTTCATTATTAAAGACTTTAAACAAATATCCCACAAGACAGTTTACCATAATTGACCTTTTATTTTAAAAAATTACAGGGATTGATTTCCAGCATATCTTATTTTATAAAAGTACTGCCTATATCAAACATTTTATATCACTATTAATTCCATTGAAGAGCTGCCTTTTTTTTTTTAAGATACTAATTCCAATTGATGGGATACATGCCCTTAAAATAGAAAGTTTCCATTATTTATTCAAATGTCAAAACCAAGATTATTGAGAAGTTTATTGCTTTATGGTTGGGCAAGATGCTACTTTAAGGTAAATAATCTTTATTAAAAACTTTGAGGTTATTTTGTTTAAAACTTTCAGGATAATTCACAGAAAATAGATATATTTATTCAAATTACACATGAAGGGCTGGACTGTTAGTTATAGACACTTATATGTGAAGCAGCTCTTTAAAGAAATAAGATGCACAAATAGGTCTGATATAATATACATAATTGAAATTGATAGAACCTGCAAGATCAATATTGTTACGCTATATTCTGTTAGGATCTCAAAAAAAAACACATTTAGTAGTCCATTTGTGCTTAAAATATTCATATGCATGAGAAGCTTAAAGAAAAAAATACCTCTGTACATGATAATGAAAGAAAGTAAAAATTTTTTTTGAAATTGCACTGTTATTTCAAACACTTTCCTAAGGCCAGACTCTTCTTGCAGCTGGCACAGTTTTTTCAGGTCTAATTGGCAACCTGGGGAGGCCCCTCTGGTATCAGTGAAGTAAAGAAGGTGGTGATAAAAGACCAAGCTGACGCCATTAATCCAGGCCTTTGAATAGCACTGGCATCTTCACCTGCATCTTCTCCACTCTCATCTTCAAGCCCATCATCCATAAGACGCTCCTTTCAAACAAAAGAAGAAACATACTCTAAGTGATTAAAGAGCTAGCATTAACTCGTGACAGAAAAGGAGAGAGTTAAGAACCTCCCAATAGAAAGAAGGAATATGAGCATGTAATAAGGAAGTGCTACATATATGGTCATTAGAAATCTTGGTTAGGTCCAAAACTGATCAATTCCTCCGTGTTACGAGATCAAAGGGATAATTGCCAATTTAATACGATAAATTCTCACCATGTGCGTAACTTTCTTTTAGGCTATTTTAAGAAAGAAAAATGTTAGTTCTTCCCATGTAATTCTAATATATGACTGACTCAGTATTATATTCTAAGTTCCTCCAGATGAAACCACACAATTTACATGTTAACTTTTCTTCATGTGTCATTTCACAAATTCTTATGGAACACCCCAAGATTCTTTTCGCATGTTGGTCTCACGCAGCGCTAAGAGCACGTCTATATTTAAAGTATACAAAACCACGCTCGCATACCATTTCTTCAAGTTCTAGGTTATTTGCATGTTGCCCATCATTCACCTCGGCGTTATTGTTGGGGGCCTGCGGCTGACCTCCTTCCTGCCTAAAAGGAAACCATCCAGCTTGGTGTCTATTTGGTAAAATACAGAGAGAAGAAAAGAAGTCACAACTGTTTTTATTTGTAAAACTATAAAACATTGTAAGAGAAAAATGATTAGAACTATAACAAATGAAGAGACCAAATTTCCTACTTTAGGCTGAGGACTATCCCTGTCAAAGAAATGACAGCAAAACAACTCAATGTAAGTCTAAAAGTCTATAGTAAGCTCAACTGGTTCTGTGCTAGATATTAGGGCATATCAGGAGTCAGAAAACCATTTTTGGTTAGCTTTCAAAATGAATCCAACTAGATACATGTTTGCCTCTTGGGGAAGCGAGGCAAGGCTGAGCTAGTCTGCTCGTGAAGAAAATCTGATCTGTACCTAGAGGACTTACTACAGATAACTATCATTTAAAAGAACATCCTTACGCAAGAGTGCATCATACACTTCCTCAAGTTCTGAATAACTGATAGAGTATGTTTAGCTGAACTAACAGTTTTCATAAATGACAGTAAAGGAAAAATTTGTTCCTAGACAGTTCTGATAACCCTTCTTACGCAACATAACCTGCTTTGCTTCTGGTGCCAGGCCTGCGAGGCCCAACGCGCACATTCCCTCACCGACATTCATAACACAAGCCATATGCCGGATTCTGTGCTGAACAGTTTCAGAAAGTCATTCAAAGAAACCACAGGAAGTTAATGAATGTCACTCACAAATAAACCAGTAGCATGGCTCCCATGACCATGATAAACCGACTAAAGGAAGAGTAGAAGTAGACAATGCTGAGGAGGATCGCAGCGCGTGAGAACGTGTACATCCAGTCCAGCCAGTCTCGGTTGAAGTCTTCTTCGTTTAGCACTGGGCCTCCCTGTGCGTTCATCTGAACATTCTCATTCATGGGTCGATTTTCTTGGGCCACTAGGTTTGGAGCTGGTGGGGGTTCTTCTCCAGGAGCATGTGCCAAATTTAGAGGCTGTGGGGGAGCGGGCTGGGCTGGGCTGGCATTTGGTGTGGCCTGAGCTGAAACCACAGCCTGACTGAAATAGTCACCAAAATAAATGTTAAAAAGAAGAAAGAAGAGAAAAAAAAACTTCATCAGACAATACTGCATTTTTCAAAACTTCCTGGAGTAAGCCGTTTGTATTTTTCATAAACCTAATATGGAATATCACAACTCGGACACATTTCTTAGGTAAGCTCAAATCCCAGTGGAAAAGTGCAGCCCAGATTATGGCAGGACTCTCTTAGGAAAGGGTGCTGTCTTAGCCTGGTGGTCCACGGTGGCAGGGGGCGGGGAGGGGTTAGAACAGCCATGCCAATCACTCTTTCCTGCTCACTAAACTACTTGCTACGGTAATGCCCAAACCTCTTTTCAAACCTTTTCCCTAATGGCTCCTTTTGTCATTCTACATGAAATGAACACCCCCATACCCACCACCTCTCCCTCAGACCCAGGGTTTGAAAGATTTGTCTAAAAACGTACATTAATCTTTACCTATGTGACCACTCTCAGAGATAAATGATTTGTATTAGTATTTTAAAATATTAACTGGATTCCAGGTAACCAAGCTTCAACCCCATCTGGACATTTGGGAACTCCATCTGGGGACCACTGGTATGGTCCTTGTCAACATATGAAGAATTGTGGTCCTGAAGTTTGCTTGTAATTATATTACTTGAAAATCAGAATAAATTGCCCTGTAAAATGCTCCCAGTAAAATCATAATATATCTGGAATTTGCTTTAAATAATCCAGCACAGGCAGGAAAGTTGTAGAACAAGATTGTCATGAATTATAAATGTTGAAGCTCGGTAATGAGTACACAGCATTAATTTTACTATTCTATCTGTTTATATGTTAAAATTATTCTACAATAAAAAGTTTAAAAACTAAGATAGCAAAATAAAATATAACAGAATTTTCCCAGGCTACAAAAGTCTATTTAAGCCAGTATGCTAATACTTCGTATCTTTAGTTTCCAAAACACTTCCTACCTCATTGATATTCTGATTCATAGGTAAGTTATATCATTAAATGTAAGACCTTGAGGCTCAGAAGTTAAATAATATACATAGGATTATATGATTTAGTAGCAAGCCACGATAACCCCACTTTCCCTACACAGTTCTGTCGGGTTATAAATGAGACAAGGGGGATAAAGCATCTAATAGGGTGCTAAGCACAAAGCAGTTACTCTAATGATAACAATCACCATGGCAACAGGTAAGGTACAAACAGCCTGCCTGGGGTTATGCACGAGAACATTAGGGTATCAGGTTCATAAAGCAGGTGGGCTTTATGGGGTACGGTCTGGAGGAAGGAGAAGGATACAGACTTCACACTAAAGTCACGAGAGCCAACAAATCTTGGGGGGTGGGGACTGACTGACTTAATTATGGGTTAAGCAAGTTACCCTGGCAATAGTACAGTGAAATACAGTAAAGAGCATACAAGGAGAAAGATCAATTGCAGCAAAGTGGGTCTAAAATGAGAAACAATTTGGGGAAAATGCCGGAAGTTAGACACAGGGGCAGGACAGAAGCTAGAAACAACCTATTGACTCATGTTGGTAATTTGTTGCGTTCAGGGATGACAGAAGCCAGAATCAAAGCTGATTAAGGTTAAGAGCCTGGAGAATGATTAAGAAGAGACAGTATCACTGACAAGAAGTCAGGAAGGAAAACACTTCATGAGGATGGTGGAATCAAATTTTAGACAGACCGAATTAGGAGAAAGACATATTTCCCTGTGGAAACCTTCCAACAATTAAGATACAAGATGAAGAACAGGACATAAAGAATTGGGAGTGATCCCAGGGAGCTAGCGACTAAGGCCAAGAGGGCCAGCCCAGGACTGACTCCTGTTGTCCCTACCGGACTGAGCATCATAAGGCGCATGGTAAATACACACATACATGGAAATGAACAAGGAACGTTACCACTTAGAGGGAGGGAAAATGTGTATCTAAAGGACACAAAATGAGTGGCCAGGAAGAGAAAGCGAATGCAGAGGATAACAGAATCATAGAAACAAGAAGAGCAGGACGTTAACGAGAAGCTAGAAATGTTACATGAATGCACAGGAGTCTGGAAGAATGAAGGCTGAGAAATCGTACGCAGTGCTAAGATTGTTCCCTGCTAACCAGAAGCAAGACTTACTAAAATACTGAGTCCAAAAGGCGTATTAGCCACAACCGAGCCCCACAACACGCGCCTCCCCAGATGATTCCGTCTGTTCCCTTTTTCCTTCAACTTCCAACCTCTTCATGTAGATTTATTTACTGCGTGACAGTTCCAGTGAACCTTTCCTAAGTGTTCTCTTAAACAGATAAACTGTGATAGTAAAGAAAGCATCCGAAATAACTACTACATATAATTAGGGGACAGAGTGAGAGTGGCAAGTATGTTTAGTTGATGTCAACCCTTTTTCCTTTGGCCAAATAATTTAAAACAAAGTTATCTGCTGAGATATTTGCAAATTCCTTCTCAAACTAATTTTTAAACGCTAATGAAATACATCAGTAAATGAAATCCCCAAATCAACTTACTAGGATAAAAAATAAAATAAATAACACAGTAAGTAAAAAAATGAACTCAAATTAACTTACTATTGCATATAATACTGATGAGCATACAGCTGCTGCCACCACAGCATCTGCAGGGGGCTGAACGCGGGGTACACTGGGAACCCGGCCGGAGCAGCTTGTCCAGGAAGCTGGTTGTCCACATTTCTGCCAGAGAGAGATAAGGACAGGTCTTTTCATGCTCTAGAAGTTAAAAAAGCATTTCTCTAAATTTTCATTCCTGCACTACAAGTCATCCAGTGACAAAATGTATCAAGTCTTACTTAAAAGAAAAATACTTATTTTCAACATTCTTCAAAGTTCTTAGAAGATGACCCTGACCCCAAATATACAGAACTAACATTATCAGCCCAGTTTTAATGGGAAGAGAAAAAATCACCCACAAAACGTGCGCCAAGCCTGAACATTTGCTACCTTCGCATTTCAGCACAAAAAGGTACATTCTCCTTAAGAACCTAAGTCCTGAAATAAACTTTGTGGCAAAATATTCTGAAGTCTCGGAGAACTTAGTCAGATGATATTTTACATTAGTAGTAAAATATTATTAAAAAGATAGCAGTTATCAGCTGTAAAAAATGAACATTATAAAGAAATCTAAATCTTTTAAAGTGCCAAGATTAGTAGAACATATTTATACATGCATTCTTTTTAAAGTGTATTTGGTATGCAATATTGTATTAGTTTCAGGCGTATAATGCAATGATTCGATATTTACATACCTTACAATGTGATCACCACACTTAGTACTTATCTGTCACCATGCAAACTTATGACACTATTACTATTATTCCCCTTCACCTTTTTCACCCATCACCCCACACCCTTTCCCTTTAGCAACCATCAGTTTGATTTCTGTTTCTATGCGTTTGCTTTTATTTTGTTTGTTCTTTTGTTTTGCATTTTGTAGATTACACATATAAGTGAAATCATATAATATCTGTCCTTCTCTGACTGATTTGTTTCACTTAGCATAATACCCTCTGGGTCCATCCAGGTTGTCGTAAATGGCAGTATTTCATTCTTTGTTACTGCTGAGTAATATTTCATTTATACATGTGTTCTTAAAGTAGGCCCAACTATTATTCAGTAAAATTTGTGGAAGGTCACATTTTACTTCTCCATGCCTCAGTTTCCTCATATCTAAAATGGGGCTAAGAATAGAATCTTTCTCACAGGATTGGTGGTCTGTACAAGTGTTACTATTTTTATTTTTACTCTCTCCTACCCCTAACTCTGAGTACGACTCCGAAGTGTATAATGTGAGAGTTGTAGAAAGTCACAGACACCAAGACAACTACAGATTTAAACATAAAAGTAAATGCAGGATTTGTGAATTTTCTTTTTCTTCATATGACTTGAATTTTACCTTGAGCTGCTTAGTTTGCTCTATCAAGGGTGAGACAAGAGTTAACAAATTTGAACTTTAATTTTATATTCTAAAGACTGTTAACATATAATTAGTAATAACTGATTACAAACCCTAATTTAGAAGAGCTTGGGAGGCTAAAACATGTCAACAGACTGTACTTACGGCAACTTGGTGCGGGTAAGGCAGCGACTCCCCTGTGCATCGCCTGACCTTCCCGCATCCTTAGAGGAAAATGCGAGCCACTGGGTGGCTCCCATCCTCAGAAGATCTTCTGNCGAATACAGCCCTCCCCTCCTTCCCAAGCTTTCCCACACACTGAATTTAAGAAGGAAAAGCAGAGAAGCCTGCAGGAGAGTTCCTCCTAGCTCTTGATAAACAAGTCCTGAATAAGAAGAGGAAAAGAACCTTAACCCAGCTATTCCTTGAAAAAGATATCAATTAGTGATCAACCTAGAGAGAAAGCCATACCACTGGAGCCGAGAACATTTATAAAACATCAGTGTAAAGACCTAGGCATTCCTGTGAAATGAATGAATCTGAAATCTATCAAAATCAATTATTAGCAACAATATGAGTCTGTATCTAGGTGTATATTTTACATTTTCTTAGTATTCCCAACTAAGGGAAAAACCAAACCCCCTAAAAGCAGCGCTCCATGAAGCTCCACCACTAAGAAGAAATATAACCTCACTCAAATCCACTACTCCAACTGTAAAATGAGAAGACTGGACTTTGTCACTGTTTTTAAAGGTCAAGGGAAGAAAAGGCCACTGACAAACACTTAGAAAAAAATTACTGTATACCGGGGGTGCCAAAAAAAGCTACACATTTTAAGAGATGTTATCTATGTATTGCTTTTCGAAATTGAGTTGAATTATGCTAGCAATGTGTAGTATGACATTCGCTTAAAAGATGGCCTTAATCGAACAAATGCTAGCATCACTCATTGTATTACAATTTCAATACAATTTTTCCCTTTTTTAAAATGTGTATACATTTTTTTGGCACGCCCAGTATATAGCGTCTCACCTCACCCTGCTGCAGCAGGGAACATAAGGTGATTATTAAAAATATGCTGCCAAAAAAAATTTAATAAACTCCCCTAGATGATTCCAATATGCTTCTTCCCTTTCTCACTAGTAAGTTAAAAACTACTGAACTGTATAATTGCTAAGACACATTCCAGGCCCAAGTTGGTTAATTAACGCAACAAGATGTTATGCATTTGGTAATCTCCAGAAAACAATAAAGAATTTATTTATCCTAATTTATTGAAGTTATTATTAAAATATGTAGTAATACATCAATGAAACATGTTACATCAGGACTTAATATATTCTGGAGGATACAACATACAACATTAAACCACATGATAGAGGATGATTATTTGATGCTGAGAAAAGTGTTTACCGAATAAGTGGTAGGGGGAAGGGAATTTAAAGCTTCACCTCATTCCAAATATTCAAATAAGTTTCCAAGTGGATTAAAATAAAGTATTAAGAGCTAAACCACAGAAAATCTGAAGAAATTAGAATCGATCATTTACCAAACCTTTGGAGGGAGGAAGGCTTCCCTAAGTTAAAAGCAGCAGAACAAAGCACAGAAAGAGCGATCCTCGTAATCGATGACAAAATTTAAGGAGAGCTGAAAAACTAAGCTTGAAATAAAGAGCAGTGAAAATCTTCTCTACACAAAGAACTCACAGAAATGGAAATATTCATTAGGACAAATGCAAATTAAAATAAATATAGCTTTGTTTTCTATCTGACAATATCCAGTACGGGGAAGAGATACAAGTGAAACCCAACTCTCCATGGTTAGCAAGATAGCCTGGAATAAACCTTTTAAAAACTTTACAAAATTAAATATCTTTAAATTGTGCACTTACACCCAACTGCCCAAGTAATTCTGCTTCTGAAAATAAGCTTAAAGAAATATGAAATATGGAAAAAAATGTCCCACCTCTACCCTTTAAGCATTTGTACAGACTGGGGCAATAATTCCTGATTGAAAAGAGAGAACTGTATCACAGCACATACCACCATGTTGAAACTGACTGTTGAAATTCCACAACCCTAAAGCCATTTACTCTCTGACATACTTACTTTCACCCACTTCTTCTTCTAGGCATCAATCCTATATAAAATTGTCAAAAATGTAAAATGATGTATGCACAAGGCTATTCATCACAATACTAACAGTAAAGACTGGAAATAACTCAAATATTCATCAATAAGAGACTGGATGTCATAATTTATGCACTCAGTGAATTAGTATTCAGATGTAGAAAGAAACAAAGATTTCTATGTGCTCCTATGGAGTGATCGCCTGGATATTATTTTCTTTAAAAGCCAGGTTTCTTTTAAAAGAAAAATATGTATAACATGCTACCTTTTGAGTTAGAATCAGGAGGATATATTTATATGCATGTGTGCACATATGTACACATATACATGTGTAGAGGGTGCAAAGAAAATGTATACACATTTTAAGAAAGGAAAACTGTATTAAATTATAATACTCAATATATACTGATAACAAAAGATGGATACAAGTCACATTTGACAAGAGGTGCTTAAAGTGGTTCCCATCAGCATCCAGATACTACTGATTATAGCAAACTACTGCTTGAGCAACGGTGGCCAAAGTTTTCCTTTCTTAAATGTGTATACATTTTTTGGTACCATATACATATCAACAGGGGACTAATTCATTAAATTATAATAATCTATGTAACGTGGATTTGATAAAGAAAAGAGAGTTCTTATTAATTTGCTAACATAGTTAATGAAAAATAAAATGTAAGCCAATGTGTATAGGAAGTATATTACTGTGTTAAATACACACACACACACACAAAAGCACAGTTTATCCTGGGAATAATACAAGAGAAAACAATTCATTTAAATGGAATCATTCACATGTATTGCCCCTTAGAACACCACTAAAAACAGAAATTGCCTGCTCCCTCTCCTGTCTCTGAGCAGACTCTGGGTTCCAATGAACAGGGCCTGGGCTTCACCTGTTATTGCATCTCCAGCATTTAGCACAATAAATATGTGTTGAATAACTTCATATGGACAGCAGGAGAACGCTGAAATAAAGTACCGATTATGAGCAACTATTTAATCTAGTAACTTGAAATTTTCATTTAATTAATTTTTTAACATTAAATGAAAACATATAATGTTCATATGGTAAAAAGTACAACTATGTTAAACAAAAAAGTTTCAAAGAAAAAGATACTGGAAGGAAATACTGTTAACAAATAGTTGTTTCTAGATGATTGAACAGAGGTCATTTTTTCCCCTTCTTTTACTTTTTTTTCCCCAAACTTGTTAATACATATATATTACTTTTATAATTCAAAATAATTAAGTGGGGTTTTTTGCAAAGAGCCAAATAAAATAGCAGAAACATAGAAAAAATGTAACTATTTAGAATGTATAATACATCTGTCTCCATATAAAACGTCATATTCTTTATGCAAGGAAACCATAACCTGGTCTCTCCCTCTGGCCTTGGGAAAGTCAGTGAGGAAACTGCTGATATATGAGGCCTGACAATTAAGTTCACGAACTCATCCTAGAAGTGCTACACACTTCACTGCTGAATGTCACTACGGTCACCTTTGAAGTACTCCCCTTGGGAAGCTATGCACTGACGCCAGCTACTAGTCCTCCCTTCAAAGCAGTTTTGGAACTTTTTCTGGAATGGCCATCAGAGCCGTCAACGTATTACCCTTGATGTCCTGAATGTCCCTAAAATGTCTTCCTTTCAGTATTTCCTTTACCTCCGGGTAAAGGAAGAAGTCACTGGGGCCAGATCAGGTGAGTGGGTGGTGTCCCAATACAGTTATGTGTTTACTGGCTAAAAACTCCCTCACAGACAGTGCTGTGTGAGTTGGTGCATTGTCATTATGCAAGAGCCATGAATTGTTGGCGAAAAGTTCAGGTCATCTAATTTTTCCACGCAGCCTTTTCAGCACTTCCAAATAGTAAACTTGGTTAACTGTCCAGTTGGTACAAATTCATAATGAATAATCCCGCCGATATCAGAAAAGGTTAGCAACATCCTTGCAACAAGTTTGCAAACTTAATTGTCTGACTTCGTATACATGTGGGAAGATATGATGGCACAAGTTCTGACAACTTTTCATTCCTTTTCAGATAGGCTATACCGGTTAGTACTATAGAACAAAAACAAACACAGAAAAAAGGGGCAAGGGGAGTTCACGGGAACACATGGAAATGATGGATTACAACAGAGATCATGACACCAAGAACTTGAAATACTGTCATTCACAAATATATACTTGAGACCTCATTAGTGTGTTTTTGGGGTTAAGAACTACAAAGGAGAGGAGGAAACTTCAACGATCAGGAACAAATTATTTCACAGACAACCTGTTCCGTCAGCCATATTCCCCCATCACTCCATACAGTGATATAGCATCTGTGTGAAAATCCCCACATTGTCCCCAGAGTAAGCCTTTTCAAGACTCTCTGCACTTGCTTCATTCTCCCTCCTGAACTGCCCTAACCCCGCTCCCATGTTACCACCTACCGCACCCTCCCCAACTCCTTCAAGCAGAGACTCACTCCCTCCTCCGGGCTCCCACAGCACAAGGCCATGAGAACAAATCAGTGCACGGTAATTCATCTGCCTATCTAATCTACTTCCACTGAAAGTAAGCACATAATTCATTTTCCGTCGGTGCCTAGCCTATGGCAAATTCTACAACTTTTACAGTATAAAGTCACAAGATCCTTATATACACAGATTTGCTTACTCAGTCACCAATACTTAAAATCTGACCAGTCGATGCGACTAGAGAAAAGTTTTAAATGGGAGGGTAGAGGGACAATTACCACCATTACAAATGAAGTCAACATACAAATGGCAACCAAGAAAAAAATACCAAAACAAATGACACGCAAAATGGAGAGTCGCTTCAGCAAGACTTTTAAGAACACAGGCTTGCAATCAAATATGATTTGAATTCTAGTTCTGCCACTGGCCACTTAGGCAAGCAAACTACATAACTTTTAAGTCCCCTTCTCCTCATCAGTAAAATGGGAGAAAATAGTACCTAGACCACAAAGTTGGTGTAACTTTTTTAATCCACACAGAAATTCTGCATGATAACATACTATTATTATCTCCAGATCATAAGCAAGCTGAAGCAAAGTAGGGAAGAGACTTGCCCCAGCTAGTCCACAACAGATCCAAGACTCAAAGCAAGGCAGGTAGGCTCCAGAAGCTACACCACCCTCCTGATTTAAAACCCGCATCACTCATCTGGTAATAGATGCCCTAAGTGATGCTTAAGGAATCTTTAAAGATTTTACTGCTCATCATTTTAACACTCACTTTTGGCAACATAAACACTATTTCAGACTTTTCTAGTCTCTTTAATGTACTGCTAAGAGCTGAATGCCTTTCTCTTTCATGTCTGTTGATTTCCTCAACAGACTAGTTTAGAGAAACTATTCATCTTTTCCAAGGTATCTATGGTCTTATTCTGAAGACCTTAAACCTTATAAGCTTTGTTTTATTCATTACAAAATATATTCACTGTAAGTATGAGAAAGAGTTAAAAATCTTACTGTCCAGAGGTAACCACTGTTAATATGTTATTATTTATTTTTCCAGGTTTATTATATGCATAATCCCTCACTTTCTACCACTACTACCAAATAAAATAAGTAAGGTCGCTCTGTATAAATTGAGAGAAACTGAACTATCTTACTCTGCAAAAAAGACAGGAAATGAATCAGTGCCATAAAAGTATTTTAAGCTACTATTTGCAATGTAAACCCTGAGCACATTGCTTTTTACAAAAAACTAAGTTTTGGTTTGTAGTAATGCTTTTCTGAAAACCAAACTAGTTTCACAGGTGCTTCATAAGTCTACAATCAACCTAATCTAAATACTTACTTTTAGAGGAAAAGCTTCCCATTCAAGAAATGAGACAAATGAGTTTTCTTAGATTTTGCTGTTTACTCAGCTTTGTTCTTCTACATCAAGAATTGAATGAAGTTTCAAGTTCTAAGCAGCCAGTACGTGAATGCATACCCCACCCTGTGTAGCACAGCAGTCAATGGCTACCTCTTGGTTATCCTCCTTCCACTTCCTCTCTGGGGTCCCAGCCACTTCCTTGTTTCAGCCTCACCATCACAGACCTGGAGCACTGCCACACGCGTCCCATAGCATACAGGCAACATAAAACAATGATCACTGCTCATGTTTCTTTTATTTCAAAATAACAAGAACTTTACCCCAGCAAAGTACTCTGGTTTCAGACATAGCCCAGGTCCAAACTGTATCTCTGAGCCGTTTGAAAGAGTTGCTGTGGTTGCTGGCTGCATTTCCCCCTGGAAGTGTCTTCTGTAATTGCTAAACAAAGGTAGCCATAGCGAGCTTCCTTAAGTAAACTGCTCCAACAAAAGCTCTGAATAACTTGCAGTGGTTCGCATACCTTTATAATACAGCGCAGTTTTATTCTATCTCACTTGTTACCAAGTCTGGCTGATCAGAAGTACCTGTGGAACTTTCAGAAAATAGATTACTGGGCCCTATACTCTTCCAAGAACATCCTCACTCACCCATCTGCTCCCCAGAAGACTAACTTAAGACTGAGTTAAAAAAAAATGCTTTTAATTACCTAGATTCTTGCTATTCAAAGTGTGGTCCTAACATCAGAAGCATGAGCATCTCCTGGGAGCTTGTTAGAAGTACAGAACCTCAGGCCCCATCAAACCTACTGAATCAGAACCTGCATCTTAAACCCCAGGTGATGAGCACAAACATTAAAAACTAAAAACTACTGCCCTAGATTCTGATTTATGACCAGCTTTCAAAAGCACTGCTCCACTTAAGCCTCTAATTCTCAAAATACATAATCAGGCACACGAGGTGTGATCAAACAATACAGTGAATGTTTAAATTTAAAAAAATTGTTACAGTAAAAGACACATCGCCATTAATCCCCCTCAAAATACTCCCCCTTGCTTCAAACACACTTTTTTTATCACTCTTGCCACTTTCTGAAGCAGTTCTGGAAGTCCTCTTTTGTGAGTGTCTTTAGTTGCGCTGTCATGGCTGCCTCAATGTCCTGAATCGATTCAAAACATTTACTTTTCATGGTCATTTTGACTTTGGGGAAGAGCCAGAAGTCACACGGTGCCAGACCTGGTGAATAAGGTGGATGAGGACACACCATAATGTTTTTATTTGACAGAAATTGCTGTACCAGAAGTGATGCGTGACATGGAGCCTTTCCATTGTGATAACAAAATACGGTGAATGCTGCAACTGAGTGCCATCCAATGGAAAGGCAGGGATCTTCAATATGGGAAGCAGCACGTCAAACCTTAGTAACAGCGTGTGACAAGTTTCAACTTGTTCGGTGCAGTCAGTCGAGTGTGAGCTATGGTTGAGAGAAGGTGTTTTAAAGTGTGCTGTAAATCATCGTCCATCATGACAACGCTCCATGTTACACATCGCTTCTGGTACGGCAATTTCTGTCAAATAAAAACGTTACAATGTGTCCTCATCCACCTTATTCACTGCGTCTGGCACGAGATGACTTGTGGCTCTTCACCAAAGTCAAAATGATTTAGGACATCGAGGCAGCCACGACAGTGCAACTAAAGGCACTCATGAAAGAGGACTTCCAGAACTGCTTCAGAAAGTGGCAAGAATGATGGGATAAGTGTTTTTGAAGCAAGGGAGAGTAGTTTGAGGGGGATTAATGGCAATGTGTCTTTTACTGTAATAAACTTTTTTTTAATTTAAATATTTACTGTATTTTTTTATCATACCTCGTATGAATAAATTTCAAATGTACTTTGATTACTGCAGAGGTCTACCATGAAAGTCAGGAGTAACGGATTCTTAACAGGCCCACAGCTACGACAATTTCACTCACCCTTGCATTACATACGGGAACTGATGACTCTGTGCTGGGTCAGTTTGTGCTTGTGGAAGGGTGCGTTGCCTCAAGCCTTCTGAGGAAGAACTGGCAGCTAACGGCAAGGGTTCTTGACTGGATGATGGAGTTGTTGATCCTGACTGATCTGAACTCTACAAACAGAAATGTAATTACTTCTTCAAGGAGATTTAATTCATTACAATCATGAGATTACAGACACGTTGTGAAGAATGTATTTATAAAATCCCTCTGCAAAGAGTGAATTTTAGAAATTTACTCATTTGAATCTTGTACCCAGAATAAGTAGATATTTAAATTCTGATGAGACTAGAGTTCAGAAAATCAAAACCACTTAATTATACAACAGTTCATTTCTCAACTAGAAAAGGCTAAGTAGTAGAGTAATTGTATACAAAAAAAATAGCATACAAAATTGTGGACTAAATTAACACATGCACAGCTCTTTTCACAATGCCTAAAACACAGTAAGTGCTCAACAATGGTACTAATTATTGTGACATTTGAACAGTTACAATATGCCAGGTACTATATAACATGCTATTGATTTAAAATAATGAGGAACATACTAGGAATTGGAAGATCTAGACTCTGATGTTATCTCTGACATTAATAAGGAACATAACCTTAAAATTTCACTTAACCTCTGAGTGTCAGCTTTCCTACAATAATAATAAGATTGAACTAGATTAGTCAAGATTACTTTAAGTCCTAAACTTCTGTTTGTTTATAGACACTACCAACAAGTTTTTGTTGTTGTTGTTTTTTTTAAATGAATGAGATACCAATCAGGGTTTTAAAATTCTCATGCTCCAATGATGTTGGGAACTCACAGATTCAACAACCTTAAACAATATAAGCCATTGAAGACCACTCTAATTGGTTGCTATTTGAAAATAGTTTGTGAAGTGTCTTAAATAAATTTAAAACACAATTATATTTTACATAAATTATCATTTCCCCACTTTAACCTTCCAGGTCTGTTAAAATTGTACTTTATGTCTACTGCTTTCCTATGGACAGGCTGTCTTTTAGCCTGTCTACGTTCCTAAGTCTTGCAATGTAAAAGGTTCCCAGGACACTGGTCTTTTGCAAAACTGACAAGAGCTCTCTTTAAGATGTTATTCCACAGAAAAGAAATACCAAACGTATTACTAGGGAGTCTGAGTCTTAGGGACATAAACTTGGAAAGGTTTCTTTTTTGGCAACATTTCTCATTAAATGGACCATTAAAAAAGGTTGTTAGAAGAAAGGTCTAGCTAGCCATTTGGCAGCACAGCCTAATTTCTCTGGAACTAATGATTTCCAACCTTATTAGATAACTCTTTAATGACTAGATTTTTAAGACATTTCAAATCCCACTGAAATTTCTCAGCCATAAAAAATTAAGGGACATCCAACTTAATTTTCCTCTGATACTTTTTAGATTTTCATAACAAACTTTGAAAAAACTGAATATATATATTAACGACATGAAATCATGGCTGAGGAACCATTAGAGTAGTCAAAGGGTTCTTTCTCAACAAAAACTGGAACTGCATAACTGTGACCAAAGACTAGATCCAGAACTTTATGCCAATGTTTCACCCCTTCTTACACGAGGCAGGAAACATATCAAGACCCTTGGGTTTACTGACAAAATATATTTCAGTTTAATGTAAGCCAAATTCCCATGACTGGTACTAAAGAATACTTACCACTCAGGCCATACTAATTAAATACAGCAACTAGAGGGTCTAGTTCTTAAAGAAGTAGTTAATCAATATCTGCTGGAAGATCTTTCGACTAACACCTCTGCCACTCATCCCCTCAAAGTTCTAGTTAGATTCTTGACTAAGTATATTTAGCAGTATAAAAGTTCCCTGCCCAAGGAGTTTAAAGCAAGTTTCCACTCATCCAATCCTTCCCTCTCAACTCCAAAGGTGCCATATAAAGCTTTTAAGGGAAACCAAAAGTAATTTAACATAAGAGGATTTGAGGGCAGTATCTTTAAAGCTTCTAGAGTATATCTAAGTTGAGGAGTTCAATTACCAAGAAAACTTTCCAAAGCAATTTTAGGTAGATTAAAAAATAAGGAGGCAGAAATGAACACCCAAGTCTGGAAGACCTAAGTAGGTTAAGTAATTTTTCCTCCTGCAGTTGGGATGTATGCCCAAATCCAGTCACTATAAAAAAAAAAAAAAATTGACCAATGCAATCTACTTCAAAAAGATTCAGCATACTGAAAATTTAAATAATTTAATCCACCTTCAATAAAATATACTATATTAAACACCTCAAATATTTCTGAAACTTTACTGGCCCTAAGAGTTTATATTATATAACACATCATAATTCTGTTTTCTAAGTATTTCAGTGATTAAACCTCTGAAGGCTGGATTGATTACTGACCTGCCATATAGCAAATTAGAACTCATGGGGAACAGGCTTCAGGGGATAACCCTGTATACTGGATCTCTAAAAACAAAGTGTAAATGCCGAATCAAGCTGTTTAAAACACAATCTCACAACCCACAAGCTCCAGCTGTTGTGTTTTCCCCTTAGTTTCAGGAGGCAAAAAAGGATCAGCAGAAAACTTCGACATTTACTCCTCCCCAAACCACTCACAGGATTGCTGCTGGATGCCAAGGCTTCATGGCTTCCTCTACCGGTGCTGGAATCTGGGGAGCTGGGAGGAGTCCGAGAAGTACAGACTAGATGAACCATATGATACTCATCTTGCTAAAATTAAAGAAGAGTACATTGAAAGGGCAGCACTGGGAAATGGACAGTTCAGAAAGTTAGCAGCTAAGCCGAAATACTTAACTCAAAACTTAAGTTCCTTTTTCTAGCACAGCCATTTTATTAGTAATAAATTGTTGTCATTTGGAGGTAAATTTACATTTTAAAATTTGAGGCATTTTTGAGTTCAACATTTTCTCCCTGCTTGGAAAATAGTCTAAATACTTAGTAACTGCTATATTAAAAATGATTTCTTTGTTTACCAAGGAGACTTGAAGCAATCAGTGCTATAAAGTTGTGTCAATGCAATCTGTTATTTCAATATAAAAACATCTAGCACCTTAACATCAGAGCTGTAATAGTCACACTGAAGCCTGGACCTACAAACTTCAAGTAGTGAAAATATTTCTATTACTTAAGACTTTGGAGCTACAATAAACTCAACTTCACTATAATCTCATTTGCCTTCATTTTAGCAAGGTGATGTATAGTTTTTATTTTTTTAAGTCAAAACTGTTTTTATCTACCACATTTACATTTATATAATGCATATATCTGAACTATATTCTTTAAATATTCCATGTGTTTCCATAAACCTACAACTATGACTGAAGGAAAATATTCTAATAATCATTAGAATTGGCATTTTAGTTTAGTGATTTCATGAGTATATATACATATATACATATATATATATACACACACATATATATATGTGTGTGTGTGTGTGTGTGTGTGTGTATATATGAAAAAAGTAAATAAAATGGAGAAAGGAAAGAGAATAAATGAGGGCAGAGAGGCACATAGGATAGCTCAGCAACTTAAAAATTAAAAAAAAGAAAGAAAATAAAAAACAGAGTGTGATAAAGAAAAGGGGGCAGGAAGTAAGATATCCAGTTGTGAGAAAGATAAACAAAGCTACTAGAAACTAAGATAAACCTAGAATTGTGTTTAATTCTGAGGTCAATCACAGAAAGGGTAAGAGTCAGCCCCTCCCCTAAAGAGGCTCAGGATATTGTTAAAAGATCAGACTAGCACATTAGAGCACAATTAGAGAAATATGTACAACAGTCTTTTGCACAAAACTGAGAAGCACAAACTACAACTGCTTTAGGAGTTTAGAGAAAGAAGTTAATGGGGGTTACAACGCTAAGAAAAGGCATTCCCAGAGATAGTGTGACATGAGATGCGCCTAACAAGGGGAGTAGAAGGCACACCTGGATTAACAATGTCCCCTTAGCTTCAGAACACAGAACACTAAAAAGCATCCAAGCATAGATGTTTACCCTTAGAAACCTAGTTTCAAAGGTCATATTCATGACAACTAACTCACAGTATTCACTCACCTTTGGCTAATATTTCTGTAAAACATTTCATAACTAAATAAAGCTAATAGCAGCTCTTAATTGAAAAAAGAAGAGGCACAATGACTTTAACAAAAACAGCTCAAATATCTATGCAAAACGTAAACATATTATGCAAAATGTTTTACATAAGGGGCACAACAGTCCTTTGATTGAAGCATTTTTAGTTTAAGTCTTCTGGTCTGAACCCATTTCTGGTAACAAAAACCTTTTAAAAAGCATAACTATTGCATTGTTTTGTACACCTGAAACTAATAATTAAAAAAAAGTATTTGTGTGCACACAGACTCTAGCTATCCTTGTGTTAAAATAATACAAAATATTTCAAAGCGCGTAGAACAGAAGGTTTTTACGCATAAAAGCGGGGGAATGAACAGGTGGAACACAGTGGATGTTTAGGGCAGTGAACTGCTCTGTAGGATGCTGCACAGGAGGAGACACATGATTGTACATTTGTCCAAACCCACAGAATGTACGAGAGCGAGCCCTAGTGTACACTATGCGCGTGGGTGACGATGTGACAGTGTGTAGGGTCAGCAGCTGTAACACACATGCCACTCTAATATGGAATGCTGTTAGTGGGGGGGGCTGTGCGTGTGTGGAAGCAGGAGGCATATGTGAGATCTCTGTACCTTCCACTCAATTTTGCTGTGAGCCTAAATGCCCTAAAAAATAGTCTATTTAAAAGGAAAGTGGGGAGGGGAACCTGCTGCAAATTCCACTATTTTTGACAGAGAGGTTATTAAACCACTTTGGCAATCTGAAACTACACAATTAGAATGAAAATAACAACTCTGGGTGGTGAACACACAATGTGATATATAGATGATGTATTACAGAATTGTACACTTGAAACCTATGTAATTTTACTAACCATTGTCACCCCAATAAATTTTAATTAAAAAATAAAATAAAAATAACAGCAAGAAGTCACACCAGCAAAGCTACAATGTCAACTGTCTACACAGTAGGGTTACACCAGCATAAGATTTTTGCAAGTTTCCGAAACATACAGGAGAGGGTATAGATCTAAATCAGAGCAGGGATATCAAGAACAACATGAAGAGTGAAGTCAAAGATCTAAGGCAAAACATAAAAGCCATAGATTTAATTCTGCTACATTCACAAAGAGCAGCATCTCAAATACAGAGAAGTTCTAAAGTATAAATTCCACAAATGCACATGAGCTGAAAGCTGCCATTAAAATCACCAGCATTCAAGCTAGTCATTGTCAAAAAACTATAATGGAATATATTTTAGCTCTAAGCACCGGCATTCCAAGTTTGCTAACTGATGGACCCCTTGGGCTTCCTTCTATTTCTCCCCTGAAATTAAATTCCTACCCCAAGTAACTTGGATTAAATGTCACGCAGCTGGTCAAAAGGGGCTATCAGAGAGGAAGGACACTGTTACCCATGGAAACCCTTCACCACTCCCTGGACACTCTGCCCCTGCACCACTGACAAGTCGATGGTGTTTTCTTACAATAGATGGCACGTACTTGAACACAAATACATAATCCTATTTCAGAGTTAGCTATCAGATAGATACACAAAACTGCTACCTGCGCTGATCAGAATCCATCATTATGTCCTTTACTTTCTAGTTCACGTTCACCTGTTATGTCACCCAAAAGGGTTGATTTTAAGCATCTAAAACCTGAACTGGTTGGCTATCGATCAAATTTCAGAACGTATCTCCCCTCACACTCTGAATGTGGCTGGTATCAAGTAGCGGTAGAAATCTGCTTACTTTTCTGAGAATGTCTTTCAGCTGCAGATGATCGGCAAGCAGTCTGCCCGAATACACCAATCTCTGATCCTTCGTCAACTAAGAAATGGGACAAAGAAAAGAATTCAACTTTTTCTAATTATACAAAATGAAGGCTGGCATAACATGCCTAAATATGGGTAAAGTAAATGCCCTTTAGGCACAAATAAGCAGAAAACTGACACAATTTAAGAATTTTGTTTTTCCAAATTCCACTTAACACATTAAGAGCTCAGCAACTGGTAGCATATTTATTGCAGATATAATACAGATAATTACCAATTTTTTAAAAAACAGAGAAAAAAGGTAAATTGGAGGTTTGTCTTTTTAGTCACAATGCATGTGTGACTATCATTAAAAACCATCAGACTATAAATGAGAAGGTGGCTGACCTTCTATTAATAGTCAACAATGGGATAAAATTTCAAACTCACCAGTTATTTTGCAATGTTTTGTCAGTATTTTTAATCTAAAAGTATATGTAAGATTTATTTTCTTCTTTACTAACATCATGCAGAACAATTTATTGGTTTTAATTCAAGAGCCATTTGGATTTAATTACAGCTTTAGGTAACCTGTTTTTATTATTCCTGCCACTCTCACGAATGTCTTTGTACATTTCTCAAAAAATATGGGATGGGACTAAAGAAAAATCAACTCAAGTGCATGGAGATTCAGTGGCCATCTCTATATGCAGCCCAAAATAGGAAATACGTTCTAATTATCTCTGCTCTATTTTGCACTTAGGATGAATCTGCTAAGTGCACCCGTTGCCAGCATTAAAGAATTTAAAATTAAAGCATTTATGTATAGTCCCCATAAGATCTCCTATTTCATAACTAGGCAAATGTTCCTTGAATTCTATTAAAACAATTAACTACATAGTAGCTATATCAACAACTGTTAAATATGCCAAGTCCAAGCAAAACAATAACAATTTTTAAGTAGACTATATATTCAGCATGACTAGTAAAAAAAAAGGGTCTTATATTAAAAATAATAATAGAAAATGTCATACTGAGTAAATTCTGTAGTTGAGGGGTCCTTAGGTACCAAAGATCAAGGGTTTTGGTTTAAGTATCTCTATAACCTTGTGGAATTTTATGATTTTCAATGTACTGCCATTCTTTTCAAGTCCTCAAATAGTACCATTTTTGGTCAGTAGGTGTCCCTTGAGGTTGGCTCCGGTGTCATTTTGACATGACCTCTGTAGTCTCAGATAGCTTGCTTGCTTTCAGGCACAAAATGCCAGGTGCATCTGCCAACATGTTTCCTGCGCCACACCTCACCTCAGCCATTGCTCCAGGGGCCTTGATTCCTTTTAATGGGAAATGGTATCTAAAGACCAAAATCTGGAATCTAAGACTACTTTTCTCTTACTTCTCATTATTTCTAAGATTCTTCATTAAGGACAGCTAGAAAAATATGTATTTTTTTGAAAGGAAAACTTAAACTCTGAGGTCATACTGATATTTCCGATTTAAATTAATAGAGCAGTATATGGTTTTTGCTTATTTTATTTGTAACTTCTCTCACCCTGGAAGTCTTGCTTGCTAATGACATTAACAAACATACGCCATTAGCAAACTTACTTATATGCTTTATCTTACTACATATAATCTCAAAATAAAAATAATATTGGATGAGGCTTAAGATTTCTAATGGGTTTCTTTTGCCTTTACATATATCCCCTTAGAAATATATAGTTAAAATACTGTGTTTCAAAATTACTTGGAATAATTTCTCCTGTATTATATCATCATCCTAACATTAAATTATTAATGTATTACCATTTAGAGATTACATTCTTCTATTTAATTTTTTAAATTATATGGCAATAGAGTAAAAATTACAGAACAAGGTACA